CTAGTCATGTTCATCAGGCTCGCCAGGTTCATAAGGCTAGCCATGTTCATCAGGCTAGCCATGTTCACTAGGCTAGCCGTGTTCATCAGGCTAGCCAGGTTCATCAGGCTAGTCATGTTCATCAGGCTAGCCATGTTCATCAGGCGAGCCGTGTTCATCAGGCTAGCCATGTTCATTAGGCTAGTCATGTTCATCAGGCTAGCCATGTTCATCAGGCTAGCCAGGTTAATCAGGCTAGCCATGTTCATCAGGCTAGCCAGGTTCATCAGGCTAGCCAGGTTCATCAGGCTAGCCATGTTCATCAGGCTAGCCATGTTCATCAGGCTAGCCAGGTTCATCAGGCTAGCCATGTTCATCAGGCTAGCCAGGTTCATCAGGCTAGCTGTGTTCATCAGGCTAGCCATGTTCACTAGGCTAGCCAGGTTCATTAGGCTTGTGTTAATCAGGCTAGCTGTGTTCATCAGGCTAGCTGTGTTCATCAGGCTAGCCATGTTCATCAGGCTAGCCAAGTTCATCAGGCTAGCCTTGTTGATCAGGCTAGCCGTGTTCATCAGGCTAGCTGTGTTCATCAGGCTAGTCACGTTCATCAGGCTAGCCATGTTCATCAAGCGAGCCATGTTCATCAGGCTAGCCAAGTTCATAAGGCTAGCCTTGTTAATCAGGCTTGTCGTGTTCATCAGGCAAGCTGTGTTCATCAGGCTAGCCACGTTCATCAGGCTAACCACGTTCATCAGGCGAGCCATGTTCATCAGGCGAGCCATGTTCATGAGGCTAGCCAAGTTCATCAGGCTAGCCTTGTTAATCAGGCAACAAACCATTGTTGTTAATCAGGCTAGCATATGCATGAGGCTAGCATGCACAAAATTAGTGTTCTTTGTTCGTTCAAGTCTTTCTTGTAAAGGATGGAAGTGTCACGCCATGTGCTGGCCCGAGGGCTCCCTGTGTGGTGCATTTTTTGTAGATATTTTCGACAAATAACGAACCACGCTCAATGTTGACGCCCCGATGCTGTGTGCAGAATGGTTTGTCTAACTGCACTTGCTATTGGAACTTTTGATGGATATGTTTTGTTTTAACAGGTTATAACTCATTGAGACGTCGAGTCTATTTTGCAAGGGTGACTGGGTTAAAATTTACCCAAAATTGACCGCAAATAAAGTGTAATAGCAACAAACCATTGTTTTCGAGGTTTGTGCTGTTTAGCTGCCTTGATGTGTCTTCGGGTTGCACATTGTTTGTTGTGAATATCCCGTGCCTGATGAAGCTTCCAGACGTGGAGTGAAACGTCAGACAATACTGAACAGCACACGGTACAACCCAAAAACACATCAGAACAACAACAGCCACCCTTCCTAACGAAGTCAGAATATTCATTTAGACTGGAGGAATCCAATGAGCTATGAAGCTCTTTTTCACAGATGTGCAGTAGACGGGTGTCCAGTAAAGTTGCTGTGACATCGCAGCTCTTGTACCAGACTGTGTGTACTTTGAGGCCACGTGGGGTGATGTCTCGATGTCTCGACGGCCGGAGGTCCCAGGTTAGACCCAGGTGTTATGGGTTCACTGATGACCGAGATGGCTGTCAAATGGAGTGCATTGGAATCCTTGCGCACAAAGCTAACACAACAAAACAAGTCGACTGCACAACGAGCGAAGCTAAGCGATGTCCAAAACAACCTGGAAAGGCCTAAATTAAATCAAAATGCTCTTTGGTTCTTTCGGTAAAGTCACGTAGGTAGAAATAAAATAAAACAAATCACGACGTTTCGATCCCAACACAAGCAATCTTCATCAGGCGGGCCACTTCAGCAGTTTTCTTGCTGTGGTTGTCTCTGAGACTGGGCTAGTCTCCTTGGTGATGACGGGACCGTAAGTGCCGGTGCTTGAATGTGTGGCCTTAACTTTGTCACAACTGTGGGTCGCTAGAGGAAGGAAGAGTTATTGAGGTGCAGTGGCACCATCGGCATTGGCCACGATTACCTCCTCGTAACCTCTTGACCTTGAACTCTCACGAAAAGTACAAGCAAGCATGCCGGAACTCGTGGTCTGTTGTAGCAAGATTATTGATGGGTGTTAACATTTTAGATATTCGCCCAGCTACTATTAAAGCCTCACCCATCTCGTCGACCCACTGCAGTTTGGTCGCCAGATGGTAGAGGCAGTTACTGTCAACTTTCACCACGAGACAACACACAGGACTGGAGTTATTGGAGTTTCCATTTTCGGACATGATACTTTAAACCCAGGTTGAGCACCACGGCTGGGGCTGTATTGGCACACAGAAAACGTGAATGCATTCCAAAAATAGATATCGGAAAGTTTAACCATTGCGTTACAAGTGGTCCACAGAAAAGTAAGTGAATAAAAAGTAAACACAGGAACGTATATAAAATATAAATCAATAATAGATACACGATAGACTTCAGGCAATGACCCTTTAAACATTTAAAGCAAATACCCATAATCGTTACGTTGGAAGGCAGTGTTCTTGATTCATGTGGCAGAGTTGTATATATGCAAATGCATGCCCCTTATTAAGCCGAGACCCAAGAATCTTATTTTCTCCTCCGCCATTGAGAAGGTACAACCCGAAAATAGCGGTGGCACGGTAGTTCTGGGATCCGGTCATCCGAGTTTGATTCCCGGCCACGGCTAACATTAGTCACGAGTGACAACCAATCTGCTGGTCTTGCAAAACCGCATTGACCACCGTGGTGAAGTATGGTCAAACATCCCCCATGAGACCGAAACTTCGTGGGGAGGCCTTCATCAAGCAGTGGATTGACAAAGGGCTGTAAATTATTCCTATAATGCATTGACCACCGTGGTGAAGTATGGGCAAACAACCCCCACGAGCGAAGCTGTGTGTGGCAGCCATAACCCAACAGTGGATTGACAAAGGGCTGTAAATTATTCCTATAATGCATTGACCACCGTGGTGAAGTATGGTCAAACAACCCCCGCAAGCGAAACTGTGTGGCAGCCATCGTCCAACAGTGGATTGACAAATGGCTGTACATTCCAGTATTCCAGTCTCAACGTGTTCAAACATCGCTCGCCGTTGACGTTTTTTCCGCGTCCGGGGAGTCGAACTCGGGGAGCGCTAGGTTCGGTGCCCAGGTTTTTTTTTACGCGGTAGTTGCTGCTGCCCCGATTTGGCCCCAGTTCGGGAACAATCTTTAATTCGCCATCTGCCGCGACGTTTTGCAGATGTTCACACGGTTTCGATTTTCAGCGGCCGCCCTGGTTAATACTGCGGGTGCATCCATCAATCGTGAATATCCGCGCGCCGTCTTGCTTCACGATGTGGACCTTAACAGATGCCTTGACGGCATTCGCCAGAGTAGGCCATTGTGCGTGCCGGCATCATGTTGTCCGAAATTTTGCACGCTTGAAAAATTATCCCTCAATTTTACATCAATTGGGATTAAGACATCAGCCATCCCCTCACCCCCCTACGCTGAGAAAAACCCTGACAAGGACCTTCCTGAAAAGAAAAAAATATATATCCCGGGACTCATTGAGGCATGGTGCAAATGTTTACAATCTGAAAAATTACACCGATAATGACTGCCGGAAAATGCACACAGCAAGTTTGAAAACGTTGGCAGGATCCTCTTGAAAAAAGGGGTCACAGGACTCAGCGCATGTATGTATATTGAGCTTCTTTCGCACCGTACGTAGCCAACCGTGCTAATCGGAGGTACGGGGCGGTAGGGGGGGGACAGCACACAGTGATGCTGTTCCTCGGTAGCCCAAGCATCAGTGCCGGATTAAGCTAGTGCGGGGCCTGTAGCATATGTCATACAGTGGCCCTGAATAAAAAACAAAACCATGAATATTAAAACACAATAAATTTTGTACTTGCATAGTAAAGTATTTGTTTTTTTTCATTTGCTATACCGCCAGATAATGCGACAAATCGCTAAACTTAAACACCCAGTCGTTCATAAAAGTTGAAGGCGGTATAGTATTATAGTAATAGAGCAAGTGCAGGATCACTGAACCGGAATTTGAAGCATTTAGCCCTGGGCCCTTGAAAGTAGGGGGCTCGCAGCTACATGTGTAGCTACTTGTGCTACTCGGATAACCCGGCACTGCCAAGCATCCACTCAAACATTTTTTTAGCAACAGCAGCGCCGCCCGTTTAAAGACTCGGTGACGCGCTACCAGCAGCGAGTCCATTGGCTGCGTTAAGCGACGTGGCTTCTTAAGAGGCGAGCTCCTGGCTGAGCTCACACACACACACCTCCCACAACACCCATCCACTACCAGAATCCTCCTCTTCCCACCCAGAATTCCTCCTCCCACTTACTCAGACTGCCGCCGCCGCCACAGATCCTCCCTCCTCCTTATACTGCCACCATCCTCCGCTTTGTCGTTGGCGAGGCAGGCGCTGGGTTTTTGTTTGAGGCCCAAGTAAATAAATGCACGGCAAGCAAGAGAAAGTGTGCTCACTCCCTTCCTCTGCTTCTTGTGTTTGTACACAAGACGCAGATGACGCTGCCGCTGCCACTGCCATCATCATCCCGACCACGAATAAATAAGTACAAGCCATCAATCTCTACCACCATAACCAATAACCACAAATTATCGCTAACACTACTAACCACCAGTCATCACTACCACGAACCACCACGAACCAATCATCACCATTAACCACCAATATGTATCAGCACTAACCAGAAAATCATCAGCACTAACCAGCAATCATTACTACTAACCACCAATCACATTAAACACAAATAATCATCACTGACCACCAATCAGCGTCACCACTAACCAGCAATCATTACCACTAACCACCAATTATCAGCACTGACCACCAATCATCAGCTCTGACCACCAATCATCAGCACTAACCAGCAACCATTACCACTAACCACCAATAACCATCAGCACTAGCCACCAATCATCAGCACTAACCACCAATAACCATCAGCACCGACCACCAATCATCAGCACTGACCACCAATCATAACTACCACTGACCACCACCAATCACCGCCACCACCACCCCTTGGTTAAAGTCCTCCCGCCGGCCGCCCCTCGTGTCGTCAGCGCGCAGGAAGGAGGAGCGCTACAAGACGCGCCTCGCACTGCCCAGCAACGGCATCTGCGGCGTGAGCGTGCGGGCGGAGCCGAGAGTGCAAGCGCACAGCAGCAGCATCATCAGCTGACTGTCAGGGCTTAAACAACCGAGCGGCCCCCTCGCCTCGTCCAAACGAATCGACGTCTCTCACCCCTGCTTCGTCTCCCCCGCGCGTGAAGGAAGCCGGCGCGGCCATGGAGCTTATGGACGCCGGGGGGACGGATCGCATGCTGTGGGAGCCCAGCATCGCCGACTTTGGGGATGACGCCGACTTCATGGGGAGCGTCGTAAGTGGTTTTTGTTTTGTTCTTCCGCCTCCTCGCTTCATTCACTCGCTTTGTCCTTAAGCGTCGGTGGTGGTGACTTTGCCGTGAGTTGGTTGAACCTTGCACCTTACGCCTTGTTGCTGCCGGTGGATGATGATTGATGATGGTGGTCGACTCTCGTGGGTGGTATTGTCGGGACGCGAAAGCTAAGCTGGCTTGAACCTCGTTTGTCTTTTTTTTTCTCGGATGGGAGGCTGTCTGGAAATGCAACCGGGTGCAACCAGGTAGGCAATCGTGCTTGCGAGATTGTCAGTCAATAAATGGCTGGAGAGCAATGGATTTGTTGAATCTATCTGTGCAGAGCTTTGAGTGCCACTACTCCCCTCCCGTATACGGGGGGGGGGGGCGTGTTTTTCTTTTTCCGGCTTCTCCGGTTTTTGTCTTTAAACAAAACGAAATCAAACACGGCCAAACATCTGCGCAAGTGTCGTGGGGCAGAGTGAGGACGCTCCTGACAAAAACGGAGTCTCGATATTCGGCGAGACTTTCCCCTCCCCCCTCCGGCTAAAGGGGCAAAGACAAAGATCCCCCGTATAGCCTTAGCAGACAGTAGGGGCAAGCGCTGTTAGCGAGAACCTATGAAGGCCGGCACGGCACACGAGGGAGTGGGTGGCCAACACCACGCCCGGCCGCCTTTGTCTCCCTAGTGGCGATGTTTACACATCGCACCAGGTACTAACTTAAGGCTGAGTCGACCTAGGGGAGGCCCGGGACCGGTTCAGATAATCGTCACTGGTGTTGGCCGTGAGCGGGAACCGAACCCGGGTCGCTAGGTTCGTAGCGCAGCGTAGCGCTAACCACTGCACTACCGCTCCCCATGAAGGGGCACCCACCCACACACGCACACACTCTCACTCGACTTGGTGGCTGGTGGTGGTGGTGAAATGCAATGAAGGAAATGGCTCCGGCGTCGTGCTGGAATGTGTGCGTCTCGTATGAGGAAAAAAAATGGGGCGGCTGTGTCGATGGAATGCAAATTGATGCCATTTGGGAATTAACTATGTTCAAGTCCATCCTACCTCGAGAGCGACTCCCCCTGTGCCCGTGCGTGTGCCCGTGCGTGGTGGAGGAATGTGGAATGCGGGCGGTTGCGTTTTATACAAAAAATAAAAATGCTTCAGTCCACCGATTTCAACTCGCGCAGAGAGTCTCGTATAGAACAATAGAGAGCATTTGATATTTCATTGTTGCGTTTGATGCGTTGTAAATATTGTGGTTTCACTCTACAACACACCGGTGTGCTGTACTCGTAACGAATTCGGCACGTTTTGTTTACGTGACAAACCTTACTTAAATGGCTGCGTCGGGTGGTGGCGGGTTTAACGACACATTTACGCGATCTAACGCCCCAAAAAACCCTCTTATGGATAACGGTATTTCGTTGGCAGAGGCCCACAAGTACATATACTGTAGTGGCACAACATCTCGCATCACGTTCGTCATCAACACGACCATAATTAGGCGACTTTTAGGAATAAGGTTCATTGCCTGAAACGTTGGCTGTTACCGTGTGTACGGTATATGTCTCCGCTTCGGGATAGTGTTATTTGCAAACGTTGTTGAGTTTTTTGTTTGTTTGTTAAACTCGAACTTGAGAATCAATTTTAACAGCCGTATGGATTGCGAACGTCTGCAGCGATTCCTCGCAAGTGGAATAACAACCGGAATCCATGTTCACGGCATGTTGTCTGTGTGTTCACGGCATGTTGTCTGTGTGTTCACGGCATGTTGTCTGCGTGTTCACGGCATGTTGTCTGTGTGTTCACGGCATGTTGTCTGCGTGTTCACGGCATGTTGTCTGTGTGTTCACGGCATGTTGTCTGTGTGTTCACGACATGTTGTCTGCGTGTTGACGGCATGTTGTCTGCGTGTTCACGGCATGTTGTCTGCGTGTTCACGGCATGTTGTCTGTGTGTTCACGGCATGTTGTCTGTGTGTTCAACGCATGTTGTCTGTGTGTTCACGGCATGTTGTCTGTGTGTTCAACGCATGTTGTCTGCGTGTTCACGGCATGTTGTCTGTGTGTTCAACGCATGTTGTCTGTGTGTTCAACGCATGTTGTCTGTGTGTTCAACGCATGTTGTCTGTGTGTTCAACGCATGTTGTCTGCGTGTTCACGGCATGTTGTCTGCGTGTTCACGGCATGTTGTCTCTGTGTTTGCTGCCTCTGACAGCACATTGTACTCCAGCGTGGTTCACATGTCTTGTGACACCCCCATTTAATTATCTGAATTCTTTTTTTAAAGTAAGATTGGTTAAAAACGGAAATTAATATTGCAAATGGAACAAATGTTAGGGGTAAATTAATTTGGGGGGGGGAGAGGGGGTGGTCACAAGACATCTGGACCACCCTGTAGATGTAACGGCCCTTTGTTTAATCAGCTGCTGGATGAGGGCCTCCCATCAACATCACGTGACTTTATTTGACCATACTTCACCACGCCGTTCAGCGCTTACGGTGGGGGTTAATTGTGCCCAGTGGCACTTTGGGGTTAACGTGTCGATTCATCCTGTAATACCACTAGCGAGTCTGTTGATAAAATAAGCATCGCTTTGTAGACAATCGAAGGTGAACGTGGTAAGAATGGACTGGCCGCTGCCATAGGAATGTGGAATTTACACCGCTGGCTCGGGGAGATGAGCGTTGCAGCCAGATTTGAGAAGGAAACCACTTTCACTTTTTTGTGTGCGTAATTAAAACAGATTGTACCGGCTTGGGGAAGGAAGAAAGGAAGGACGTCACGTTTGTTCATGGCTGATGATGAATCGCGGGCTGATGGTGACTTAATCGGGGTCGCTGATGAATCGCGAACAGTGCCACCACACGCTGTTCTTTTTTTATATCTTGTGGGCAGCAATGGATGCAAATGCTGGTTGTTGTAATGTCCCGATGGTCACTTGGTTCTGACTAACTCCTTGGGCAATGTGTCAAGCGAAGTGTTCTTCTGTAGCACAATTACGATGATCACAATTTCCATTACGGTGAGATTTGTGTTAAAACAAACACAAATTTTGCAAGGACAAATAATAGCAATTTTTTGTTACATCTAATGGACTCTACATCGAATGCAATGAAACGTAGCATAACCGTGAAAAGTAAAACTAGATGCAAAATATATATTAAACGAATATTTGAATTAAATAAATGCAATGGAAAGTGGAGCATGAGCATTCAACAACATAAACGCCAAAATAAACACAGACGCGTTTTTTGTTATATAAATGACCCCCCCACTGCCCCCCCCCCACCCGATCCCCACGGCCGTCATGGGTCCGGACAAATCGGGCTGAGAGCCATGCGCACCGGACTCGGCAGAATGAGTTGTACGCCGATTATGGTCATGGCGACGAGGGTTGCAGATAAGGGGTCCTCTGTGCATTTGCGTGAACGTGTCCTGCACGTGTGTGTGTGTGTGTGGTTTTATGATGAAAGAGGAGGCTTGGAACGTCCCCCTCGGCTGGGTCGTGGGTTGGAGCGTCCGTACATGTTGGCACACGCGCGTTGTGCGTACGCACGTGTGCCGTATTGATTTGGTTACCAAATCAATAAGCATGTTTGAGCCTGGTTAGCACATGAATGGGAGATTGCTTGGGGATACCAAGGCGATGTATCCTTGGGCTGTGGAGTAGCCAAGAGATGCCAGAACAGCGATGCATTCTGGAATATGTTTAAACTGAATTACTTTTAAACTATATATTTTTATTCTTACCAGGTAAGGCCCACTGACCTATATAGCACTTTTGCAGAAGCGACCTGGCTATCGAAAATGATATCTCAACGAAGTGGTTTATCATCGAGCACCAAACACTCTAAGCGCGTGATGTTGATTCTAAATGTGGAGGGGAAAAACCGGAAGACCCGGAGAAAAATCTACGCGACCACGGGGAGAGAGACGCGCATATTCCAAATATACAAGCGTCAGGTTCGGGTTTCCATCCCACGACCTCCTGCATACCAGGCGAGAGAGTTAACATCTCCCCACTGCGGCGCCTCTATCTGTATGGAGTTTGAAAGCCCCCTCGATAGCGTGGCTTTTCTCCGATCAGAAAGTTTTGAGGAATATTTATTTTCATTTAAGTACAGTTTTTATTTTTGTTTAACTTAACAGTACAGTAATTCCATCTGTTTAGCCAGGAACGTTTCACATGTGGGCTTTTGCGACCAATGTTATGATGCGTCATTGATTTCTGGGATACAAACGTGTGAGGTAGGCCACTTAATGGCTATTAAACATAATCATGCCGGTGAAACACAATAAAGTATAAAAGAGAATTGCGTTCCTAAAATGTTCAAGCCCATATCTCCTGTATAATTATATATCCATATGGTTATCTATGTGTGTGGTGACCGGGCATTGTTCTGACACCTCCCCTAGGTCGTCTTAACCTCAAATGAGTACCTTGTGCGGTGTGTAAACATCGCCACTGGGGAGAGAAAGGGGCCACCCACGCCCTTCGTGTTCTGTGCCATCCTTAATAGGTGCTCGCAAACAGCACTTGCACCAAAAGTCTGTTTAGGCTACAGGGGGATCTTTGTCTTGTTGTGTATGTGGTGGCCTGGCATTGTGCCAGCCACACCACACCAAATCAAGATTGACACCACACCCCTTCGTGTGCCGTGGTGGCTGACCCTCTTATAGACACTCGCTTAGCAGCACTTTCCCCAACATTCTGTGAAGGAGCTATGTGGGTGATCTGTTTCTTTGTCCGAGTCTTGTTTGGTTAAGGAGTTCAGTCAGTGTAAAGTGTGTTGCATGAGAAAGGCCATGTGTTTGCCACAAACATCTGGATGCCATATGCGCCACCGTCGCGCCAGTCTTTGTGTTATTTATGTTATTTATGTATACAGCCGTTTGTGTTGTTTACGTATATAGCCACACTGTGTGTGTGTGCACAAAGGCGGCCGGGCGTGGTGCTGGCCACCCTCCCTCCTCGTGTGCCGTTCGGACCTTAATAGGTGC